TCGGAATTATAATCACATGCATACCCATATTCAAACAGCTCTTACGGAAACTCAAACACGGCAAGACCGTTGGCGAAGGACATGTCGGGCCCAGAAGTAGCTGCCATCATCCCCAATCAACTGACAGCCTCGGTTATGATCTTGAGGCACCGGGTCATACGGCTTTCGGTGATCGTGTCACATCGAGCCAGGAAGCTCTGGTGTAGTCTRACCCTGGTGTCTGTTTGGAGCAGCGAGAAACTTCAGTCTCTGACAAAGCCAAACCTATCATTTATTTGTAACAATTTCTTCCGTCAGAACCCTACAGGGAGCCAATTATCAATATGGCTACAAAAGTATTTCCTGAGTCTGGTAGAAAAAGGGTGACTTATTTAAAGTCTGATACTGTACCTTTCCTTGCTCTAGGCGTCTGGAATATGACACGAAGCTCTATGTGTATTCTGACAAAAAAGTTTCTGTGTGAATATACACAAGATGTTTGGCGAGCGAATGCTGTAGATACACAGACGAAACCTATGCTGTATACCTCTCATACCAGCTCTATAGCTAGTTTTCAGTATGTAGATATTAGAAAGGGTAGCTAGGTCTCTTCTCTCTGGGGCACGGGTTTGAGGATACTTACTTCCAGATGGAAGTAAAGCAATATTTATGCATTGGCCTCTTATCATGCTTGGTTACCGTGCATATTTCACTCTATATATGCCACTACAGATTCTAGTTCGCCTTGGCTATACGCCCACAAACGATCCCATAGTTAGGTATCAAGAGGAGTAAGAATTTACAGAGCATAGCCCATCTATCAACCAGGCTTGCTGTTCTTCATCAGCTCATCTGCAAGCSAATGATTCCACATGGTGAGGTCTAGGATAAACCAAGAGTAGGCTAGCCCTGAGCTAGTTCTCTGTAACGTCCTCCACTTTAAAACAGAGATAGCCCGTAGAGAACTTGGGGTTAGTATACTGGCCTTGTGCAACTAGGTGAGACGCAAATGTCAAACATTTCTACGCTACGGCCCACGACGTTCCATCACGTACAGCAATAAATTTGAATAAGCTGTCTACCAACAGTAGGAGATCTGAACTTAAATATTCCTTACCGCGCTTTGCCATCATCTTGGCCTGCAGAGCTCAATCTCAACGGACCTAGTCTAGACCGGCAACAGAGTCTCACCCACGTGGTGATTGCCCCACGAAGCTGGGATCAGATCAGGTCTTACTGGAATCGAAGTTTCGAAAAGGAACGAAGGCCCACTCCAATATCACGTGAAGCGAAAGAAAGCAATTAGACATGGCAGAAAGGATATTCTGAACTAGGTTCTCTTCTAGCTCACAACTTAGACATTATACCAAGATGTCGGACCAGTTGCTAGAGCACAAGGCTGATAAGAGGAAAAACTAGATGATGACTTTTTGGCCAGCCTTGGAGGCTTATAAGAAGGTGCCTCCAATCCCTCGGCAAAGAAAAGTTAGCTCAACACTGCAATCACCCCTGATCTTCAAGATGGCGGATATCCTGAACGGTAGTGTAAGCGGAGGAGATCACTATAGTACCAGCGATATAACCAATCGAGCGACATTGGAGTCCTCTTAGACAAAGAGATCATTGTAGTATGCAATCTGATAGAGAAAGATGGCTTAAATCACAAACATTGAGCCTCAGAAAGCAGGAAACGTCACCTGAAAATCATCTCAAATTACCAACTCCCATAAGATGTATGCAAAGTGTAACACTACAGTACGAATTCAAAGATCCGCAAGCACATTTTATACATCTCAATTATCGATATCATTACAGCAACTGAAACAATATGCCATTTCCCTCCGCATCAATACACAAATAAGTGAAGGTTAGATCCCATATCTTTTTCCTCTTCGTCAAATGCCTCCGATTTGGCACTATTCACTTTTCTATGAGCCTTTCAAACCTGTAATGAAAAAGAAAGCAGAAAGGACAAAAAGAAAAAGAGGACAGAGTGACTGAGATTGAATCCTTCGATGGAAAAAGCGACGATTTGCAAATTCAAAGAGCCAAAGTGAAGTTTGTCAGCTGGATTGCTGTATCTGGTCATTGTTGASCCTATTGAGGCCGTTCCTGATACTCTTGCCACAAAACTCGGTAGTCGGTTCCGAATCGTTGTCGCTGAATCACCGGTGCCGTGAGCTGTGAGTGGTCGGTAGAATACTAATCCTCAAGTTCAACTCCCGTGTCTTAGGGTCTTGGATTTTACTAGACGCCACCACGGGGGGGAATTAATGGTTAGTCGTCTGGTTCTATTTTACAAAATCAAGGTTGAAATGAAAAATTAGTCATTTCTGATTCAATTTACCATTCTTTAATGGCTTTTACGCACTTGGAAAAAAACTTGAATCAGAGAAAGGCGTTAGTAAGCAAGTTTTCACAACATCACCCTTTCGCCCCACTGAGATTTGGCATGTTGTTACACTTGATGCAGTACCATTATGGCGTAACATACCGCCCCTGTCTATGCACCTTAACAGAGCGTTATGCATATAACGAAGTTATTATCCAGATGTGTTATTTGTAGTTGAGACAACTTAGATCTACAATGATGACTTTATCCCACTCAATATAAAAACACACAGCCACTTCATCCAGCAGACCATCTCATACTCTATACTGCTTTATGAGCCTTTGAAAATTGAATACAGTGTATTCATGGCATTTCGATGATTTCTGCTCTTCTAATGAAGTTACTCCACTTTCCGCTCACTCTCGACCAGTCATTGATGACAAACTGAATGACATAAGCGAAATCGCGCACGGGACGACAGGCGCGCCCTCAAATTATTACTCAAAGGCCTTTGAGGCACAAATCTTGTCATCGAAAAATCATTTGCTGATTTCCTTCTACTTCTCACTTTCCCCCTTTCTGTCACGGCTGTCTTTCCACGAAGCTTATTTCTCTTTTTACCAAAACCCATTCTTTTATTCATTCCAACGCGGTCATATACAGCGGCGAATCGCATCAAAACACCACAATGAGCATGCGCAAGAGATCACTACCTATCGAAGAGGATTGCTACCCTGAATGCCCTTTCACTATCTCTTACGAGACTTATCACCAGAGAGGTCATGAAAACAAGAAGCGGAAGTCTAAAAATCGAGATGAGAACAAACAGGTTCAGTCGCAAACCTCTCCTTTCAACCCGGAGGTCAGGTTAGAAGCGCGTACGAGTAGGGATATATATTACACCATCAAGCCTCAAGAACAGTGGCGAGACATGAAACGCTACAATAACTTTATTCGTGAGCATCTGATGGAATCTAGTAGGAGCCCATGGCTAACCYTTGGCAGTGAACCAAAACAAATATAATACAGAAAGTTTCGTATATGTTGCTAACGAGCTATCAATTGAAAATAAAAAGGCTCAAGATCGTGGTCTGGGCATTTGTAAGAAGAACAAAGATGAGTGGGTAGCGCGCATCCTCGAGATCCGTGCTTCTGATAAGGTTCACGTCTATGCACGCATCTACTGGATGTACAGACCCGAAGACCTCCCTCTGGGGACCGTTGAYGGCRACAAGAARAYTCRAGGCCGTCAGCCGTACCATGGCGTCAACGAACTGATCGCTTCCAACCACAGTATGCTCCAAAATGTTACCGACATACCGCAATACGACTAACCGATCTCTCCTTTGTTAGTGGATATCATCAATGTTGTCAGTGTTGAAGGGCTCGCTGCCGTCGATGAATGGAAAGAGTCCGATACCAATAAAGTCCC